TTCAGAGGTCTTAAAAACACGTTGTAGCTAAACAGGATGATTGTAATTCATCRCARRTTTTAAAATAATAGSTAACATTTATTTMGYTATTAAAAATAATTTACCGAATGCCTCTCAGAGCTCTTTTGTTTAACATTTGGATAATTTTTTTTGTGAAGTTGGTCTTAAAATAAATTTCAAGTGGCATTAAAGAGGTCTTAAAAAGTCTTAAATTTAACTTGTTTTAAGCTGTAGGAACCCTGTATATGAAAAATCTTAAAACAGTATCAAACACACAATAAACGGAGCAGCAGCTTGCTCAGCTCTTCAGCTGAGGTTCTGGACTCACTGCAGAACCTGGATTCTTTTCTTTTTGACCCGTTCTGTTGTGGATCAGCTGCTGTGTTTGGGACCGTGGTTCTGTTGGACTCAGTTTGATCCAAACTTCAGCGGTCACACTCTAGAACCCTTTGGTTTGGAGGAATTCATGGCCCACTCTAACCATTATCCCCCACCACCGTGCTGACAGCTGGGAGGAGCTGTTTGTGATGACGTAATGTTTGGGTTTCTCCAAAACCATAGAACTAGTCATGGACCAAGGGGCGGGGCTTAAAGGTTGTTCCCGTTCCAGCTTTGATTCAGGTTGACATCAGAGCTAAATCARTACAGCCATCAAACTTGGAGCAGTGCATTATGGGTAACCACCTGTCCTTTGGTCTGGTTTTGTTCCAGAAGTCTAATAGTTTCCTTCAGATGAAACAAAGTCGTGTTGGTTTTAGAGAGAAGAGGGGTTGTTTTAAAATCAGGGGCTGCGGCCTTCGAAGGCTGGATTTGTCTGTGGATTACGTCACAGCGATGCACATTATTTCCTTCATCCATGAACCTCCAGACCTCTGAGTGGTTGTTGGTTGTATCCCGCAGTGCACCGTTCCTTCATGTGTGTATGTTCTATAAGAACCCACKGTGTTTGGTGTGCAGGGTTGTGTTCTTTGTGTACTGTAGATGCATACAGAACTGCTGCCCTACATCTGAAGGAGGAGGAGGAGGAAGAAGAGCCTCGGCTTTCATCTCGTCTTAGATGTGTGTCGGCTGCTGTTCCAGATGTTGTGAGGACCAACATCTGATGCCGTCACATTGTGGGGGATTTAATTTAAAAACTAAGTGAAGAAAATCAGGAAATTCTATTACAAAGACTCGGATCAGATCCTGCTGCAGGGGAGAGTCAGAGCTGAGACAGTGCAAGCTTTGTCTTAAAGCTGAACCTCCAGGAAATTAAAACAAGTCAAAGAAACGTCCTCTGGAGAGACGGAAACACCAGAATCTGAGCTCCGCTGCTGGATCCAACCGGAGCAGATCCTGAGCAGATTAGAATAAATTACTGCTAAACAAAACCACGAGATATAAAATCCAAGAAAAACACAAACTGGTTCCAAACAGGAAGAAGAAAAAGAACATTTCTTCTTACCCTATTTTCTGGACTATGAGTCGCATCGGCGTATAAGTCACAAAAGTAAAAATATGCATCRTGAAGAGAAAAAAACACAGATAAGTCGCAGCTGAGTATAAGTCTCATTTATTGATAAATATTTTATAATGTCCAGGAGCAAACACATACCTGAGATGCAGAATAGGATTAATTAACATTATGTAACAAACCAGCCAGTCCAAAAAACAAATTACAGTTCACCGCAGGTTCACCAATCTCACTCCACATCACTGAATCCCTTAAATTCTTCATCCTCGGTGTCTCTTCTGAAGAACTCCAGAGGAAGAGGCAGCTCTGCCGTCACCTCCTCTTCTGCTGAGCTGCCATCAGACTCAGCTTCATTTCCCGTTATTCCAGTCTTTCTGAATCCTGTCAGGATGGTTTCAACCGTCAGAGAAGTCCACGCTTTGTCGATCCAGTCAAGGACTTGCGAGAAAGTCGCATGTTGCATTCTGCCGGTTGCRGTGAAGCTGTGTTGTCCATCCACCATCCATTCCTCCCACAGGCGACGCAAGACTGCCTTGAAGCTCCGGTTCACTGAGATGTCAAGAGGCTGGAGTACTTTGGTTAACCCTCCAGGGATGATGGCAGGTACGGAGTKGCAAGATTTTATTTTTTCTTAGAACTGTGCCGTTATGTGCACTCACATGCTGCGTGTTTTAAAGAAGCCATCAGGATGCTTACAGTAGCACTTTGTAAGCCAAATGTCCATCATTTCCTGATCCATCCATCCTTTCTCCTTCWCAGCAACGGTTATGGTAGGAGGAAATTTGTCTTTTGGCATAGTTTTCCGTTTGAAAAGTACCATCGTGGCAATTTTGATCCATCTCCGCAACATGCTAGCACCACTGTGAAGTGTGATTTCTCATGACCGGTTGTCACTATATTCATACTTTTTTGCCCCTTCTTTGCAACACTTTGGCCCATCGGGATGTCAAATAGGAGGGGGACCTCATCCATATTAATAATATGTTGCGGTGACACGTGTTCATTTATCCGTTTTCTCACAAGCTTGCAGAAACTGTCAGCCTTGGCTTGGAAATCTGCTGGCAGTTTCTGACACAGATGTTCGCGCTCTGATTGAAAGGTGGTTTCACTGCATGAAATGGTAACACCAAGAAGGCCCACCAGCACCCATCTGTGGACWCGTTCCTCCAGCTCTGACCATCTTGCTTTCAGCCCGTGATTAGCTTTCTTTGTTTTTTTTCATCGCTTTTAGAGTAAACTCAGCTTTTCGCCAGTCCCTCACAAGTTTCTCACTCACTCCAAAGTTTCTTTCAGCTGCTCGATTCCCATTTTGTGCTGCATATTTTACTACCTGCAGTTTGTAATCWGCAGRATAAGATTTTCTTTTTGGCGGCATTTTGTTTGTGTCCAGTCTTTCTCAGTTTTCTTTGTATTTATTAATGCTTCGGTTATTTGAACAAGCACAAAAAAAATTCACATTTTTATGGCGCCCACTCATGGCTGTAGGTAGCATTGTTCATGTCAGTCAGTTAATATTAAATGCAACAGCAAAAAGAGAGAGAGAGAGAGAGAGAGAGAGAGAGAGAGAGAGAGAG